TTTTTTTTTTATTTTTAAAGACATACTGTAGTATGGTTTTTTTTCCAATTTTTTCACGACATACTATAGTATGTTTTTTTATTTTTTAAAGACATACTATATTATGTCGTTGGTCTTTTACAATTTTTTTGGGTTTTTTTATTTTTTTGACGCCATACTGTACTATGTCGGGGGTTTTTCACGACATACTATAGTGTGGTTTTTTTCCAATTTTTTCACTATAGTATGTGATTTTTTTTCAATTTTTTCACGACAGTTATGGTTTTTTTATTTTTTCACAATATACAATATTATGTGGTTTTACTAAATTTTTTCACAACATACTATAGTGTCGTTTTTTGTTTCAATTTTTTCACGACATACTATAGTATTTTTTTTTCACGACATACTATAGTATAGTTTTTTTTTTCACGACATACTATAGTGTCGTTTTTAAAAAAAATTCACGACATACAAAAGTATGGTTTTTCACATTTTTTCAAGACATGCTATAGCATGGTTTTTTTTTTATTTCACGACATACTATTGTATGTTTTTTTTTTCAATTTTTTTGACGACATACTATAGTGTGTTTTTTTTAAATATTTTTCAAGACATACTATAGTATGTTTTTTTTTCAATTTTTTTTACGACATACTATAGTATTTTTTTTTCTCAATTTTTTCACGACATACTATATTATGTGGGTTTTTTTCAATTTTTTCACGACATACTATAGTATGTTTTTTTTTCAATTTTTTTACGACATACTATTGTATTGTTTTTTTTTTCAATTTTTCACGACATACTATGTTTTTTTTTTTATTTCACGACATACTATTGTATGTTTTTTTTTCAATTTTTTTCACGACATACTATAGTATGTTTTTTTTATTTTTTCACGACATACTATAGTATGTTTTTAATTTTATTTTTTTACGACATACTATATTATGTCTGTTTTTTTTCACGACATACTATAGCATGGTTTTTTACAATTTTTTCACGACATACTAGATATAGTATGTCGGGTTTTTTTAATTTTTTTGACGCCATACTGTACTGTCGGGGGTTTTTCACGACATACTATAGTGTGGTGTTTTTTAAATTTTTTCACTATAGTATGTGATTTTTTTTTTCAATTTTTTCACGACAGTTATGGTTTTTTTTATTTTTTCACAATATACTATATATAGTATGTCGTTTCTTCCAATTTTTTCACGACATAGTTATGTTTTCTCTTTTTTCACAATATACAATATGTGTTTTTTTCAATTTTTTCACAACATACTATAGTGTCGTTTTTTTTCAATTTTTTCACAACATAGTTATGTGTTTTTTTCAATTTTTTCACGACATACTATAGTATTTTTTTTCACGACATACTATAGTATAGTTTTTTTTTCACGACATACTATAGTGTCGTTTTTAAAATAATTTCACGACATACGAAAGTATGGTTTTTCACATTTTTTCAAGACATGCTATAGCATGGTTTTTTTTTAATTTCACGACATAATATTGTATGTTTTTTTTTTTTGACGACATACTATAGTGTTTTTTTTTCAATTTTTTTCACGACATACTAGAGTATGTGGGTTTTTTTCCATTTTTTCACGACATACTATAGTATGTTTTTTTTTTCAATTTTTTATAGTGCCTCGTTTTTTTCAATTTTTTCACGACATACTTTTTTTTTTTTTCACGACATACTATAGTATGTTTTTTTTTCCAATTTTTTCACGACATGGTTTTTTCTTTTATTTCACGACATTACTATTGTATGTTTTTTTTTCACGACATACTATAGTATGTTTTTTTTTTCAATTTTTTTACGACACAATATTATGTGGTTTTTTTCAATTTTTTCACGACATACTGTTTTTTTTTTCACGACATACTATAGTATGTTTTTTTTTCCAATTTTTTCACGACATGGTTTTTTCTTTTATTTCACGACATACTATTGTATGTTTTTTTTTTCAAGACATACTATAGTATGTTTTTTTTCAATTTTTTTTACGACATACTATATTATGTGGTTTTTTTCATTTTTTTATAGTGCCTCGTTTTTTTCAATTTTTTCACGACATACTATATTTTTTTTTCTATTTTTTTCACGACATACTATAGTATTGTTTTTTTTCTCAATTTTTTCACGACATGGTTTTTCTTTTTTCACGACATACTATTGTATGTTTTTTTTTGACGACATACTATAGTGTGTTTTTTTTTCAAATTTTTTCACGACATACTATAGTATTTTTTTTCTCAAATTTTTTACGACATACTATATTATGTGGTTTTTTCAATTTTTCATAGTGCCTCGTTTTTTTCAATTTTTTCACGACATACTATATATGTTTTTTTTTTCAATTTTTTTCACAACATACTATAGTATGTTTTTTTATTTTTTCACGACATACTATAGTATGGTTTTTTTTTCAATTTTTCACGACATACCATATTATGTTTGTTTTTTTCACGATATACTATAATATGTTGTTTTTTTTCTCATTTTTTTCAAGACATACAATATTGTTTTTTTTCACGACATACTATATAGTATGGGGTTTTTTCAATTTTTTGACGACATACTATAGTGTTGTTTTTTTATTTTTTCACGACATACTGTAGTGTGGTTTTAAAAAAAAATTCACGACATACTATAGTGTTGTTTTTTTATTTTTTCACGACATACTATAGTATGTCTTGGAAAATAACAAAAATCGTGAAAAAATGGCGTCAAAAAAATAAAAAAAACCGACATACTATATCTAGTATGTCGTGAAAAAATTGTAAAAAACCATGCTATAGTGTCGTGAAAACAAAAAAAACGACATAATATAGTGTCGTGAAAAATTTGAGAAAATTTGTTTTTGAATTTGAAGACCACACTATAGTATGTCGTGAAAAAATTGAGAAAAACCACATACTATAGTGTGTCTTGAAAAAATAAAGAAACCCACATACTATATAGTATGTCGTGAACAAAATGAAAAAAAAACCATATTATAGTATGTCGTGAAAATTTTTTTAAAAAACCCCCACACAATATTATGTTGTCAAAAAATTTTTAAAAACTACATACTATATTGTATGTCATGAAAAACTTGAAAATGACACTAAAGTATGTTATAAAAAAATGTCGCCAAAAATTTCAATTTTTTGACGTCAAAAAATTGAAAATACGACATACTATATAGTATGTCATCAAAAAATTTTTACACTTTTTTTTTCAATTGTTTTTGAAAATTGAAAAAAACAACATAGAATAGTGTCGTCAAAAATTAGAAAAAAAAATGACATGCTATATACTATATATTTTTGTGTCCAAAAATATAATTTTTTCGATATTTTCCATGTCATACGTGATTTTTTTTTATAGGAGTTAAGTGTGCCATTTTTTGGATATTTTCAATGTTCCAGTATATATGTAATTTTTCGGAATTGTTCGACATTGTTTTGCATGTCATTTCTTTTTATTTTTTGTCCAAAAATTTCAAATAAGTCCTTTTTTAACGATGTTCTGGACATTTTTGACGCCATACCAGACTATATAATTTTTGGGACTTCTTCCACATTTGTGATTTTTGACATGTATGTCATTTGGCCTAATTTTTTGACATCCTGCTGGAATGTCTTGTGAGTGAAATAATCTGCCGGTGGAACTAGAATTTTTCTTTCTTAAAAAATATCTTGCTGAAAATTTACCTATAAATTAGTTTTGTCCTTTTCAAATTTCACAAAAAGATTTGGTCAAGATGTTGTAAAATCTTGTTCTTGCAGTTAACACCTCTAACATATGTAAAAATTCTTTCCCTGTCTGCAGATGATGAAGGCACAGACGTAGATCAGAACATTCTAGATGCTCTTCTCTTCAATACCTCTCGTATCGGGCACGGCTATGCGCTGGCACACCATCCTCTTGCCAAAACGCTTTCCAGGAATGGGAACGTAGCTGTGGAGCTTTGCCCAATCTCTAACCAGGTATACTGTCAGAGCAGCTGGCAGTATACCTGGCAGCAGCTTTATGGTTAAAGCATCTGGGTTTGTGACTCCTGTGCAGGTGCTGAAGCTGGTGTCGGATCTGAGGAACCATCCTGCCGCCGTTCTGATGTCCGAGGGTCACCCTCTGGTGATCAGCTCCGACGATCCTGCTCTCTTCGGCTCAACTGGACTCTCCTACGACTTTTACGAAGCGTTTCTTGGAATCGGAGGTCTGAAAGCCAATCTGGGCACGCTGAAAGAGCTGGCCGCCAACTCCATCAGGTCAGTCCATGATGCCCATCATGAAACTAAAGGGAGTTTTTTATAGTCATTCAAAACAGATTTAATTTGAATAAAGTCACATTTAATACATATTTTTTGAATTTGAAGATAAATTTACAAAGAATGCACATTAATAAATGCAAATACATATTTGGGTTCATAAAGAATAATGGACATAGAGACAAAGCTGTCATTATGTTCAGCTCATTGAGTTACAAATCAACTAGGTGTTAGAAAGATGCACTCATCTGCTTTGTTTGGTATTCATTCAGTCGTCTCTTCATTAATGTGAAGGAACAGAAGGTTTTCTGTGTTTATGTCGCTGCTGGGATCATCAAACACGTAAAATCATCTATTCCTTCACGTTAGTGACAAGAGAAGACTGAAGTTAGCTAACCACCACCAAACAAAACGGGCGGTTTCATCTTTCTAACACGCTGGCACGTAGTGACTGATTCTCCTGATTACGACTTCTAATCGTGTCGTTTCCAACCTAAAGACTCTAGACATACAGCAGCATATGAACATAATTTTTTTACATCTGTCCTTAGTTTTAAAGTCATCTCTGCTTGCAGGTACAGCTCGCTGCCAGCTCATTTTAAAGACAGAGCTTTCGCCATGTGGAAAAACAAATGGGACGCCTTCATCTCTGATCATTCATGACTGTCCAATTTTATCTGATCCTGTTCGACTTGAAGTATAATAAAAAAAAGCCCAGGATGTTGCCTGGTAAAATGCAGCCTTGCAGGTCACAGGACCTGTTTCTCTGAATTAATGTGCTGTTTCTGTGCCGAAATCACATGTTGTATCTTCCATCTCTGATCGCTGCACTGCTGGAGAGCCAGCACTGCAAAACCGTCTCCTGTCGTTACTTCCAGGCATCTCTTAGTGTCTCTGTTCTGGATCTGTCCTCCCTGCGAATAAAATTTTATTTTTAACTTCCCTCAAGAAAAAACACTTTCTGTGTTGCTTGAATTTAAATTATTGTTTTTACCTGTTTAAAGTCCCAAAACATGTGGAGTTTCTTCTGCTGGGCGAGTTTGCACTGATGCAGTCCTGGTAAAACTCCTGAACCGGGATCCACCACGCAGTTGTTGCTGCTGTATTTGTGTGATTTGAGCGCACCGATGTAAAGTTTTCCATCAGTGAAGTAGTAACAGTGCTGAGAGACAGAAAAACAAAATCAAGCAAGAAGCAAAAGTCTGAATGTTGTGAGCTGCTGAGCGTTACCTGAGGCGAGTAGAAGTGGCATCCATAGAGGATGGGTGTGGAGCCAGGAACCGGACCCTGATCCACACAGAGATCGGGCCAGAGGTCATTAATCAGCTGCATAAAAACATGAAATGAAATGTTTCATGTCACCATGTAGTTCTGTGGAGGCCACCAGTAACCAGAAGCTTTGCTAGCTTTTTGCATCCATCATGGGCAAGTTCACATTTAATCACCAGTACATTTCCACAAAAAACCCTCAACTTCTTTTCTATCTATAATGAAACACAGCATAAATAAAAAAGCCACAAGTAGGCCAGAGAAATGTTACAATTTCTGCTGAGCTTGGTTGTAATATAACAAACGATCCATTTCTTCTGCCTTGTATTTCATTCAAGGTGGCATCAAAAAAAAACCTTAAAGCAGGAATGTAGAGAATAATTGACGTTTTATTTTCATTACACACAGCAGCTGTTGTAATAAATCCACTTATTCTGATTATGCGTCACTGTTTTCCCCACTGGAAAACAGTGACGCAGGTAACATACTGTCAGCTCATAACTACTCCACAGAGTCCAAACTAAACGATATCTCACTCCCACTGTTTCCTTTAGCTGCCATTATAAGTTTAATTATAATTGGTGACTAGTGTTAAACTCACAGCTCCGTAGCCCAGCAGGCCCTGCAGCGGGTCCAGCAAGGGGTAAACATTATCCAGGTACCACCGGAAGGGTTTACACTTCAGCCTCTCCCTCAGCTTCTTCCTCTCAGAAACATCCCCGATGTCGATTCCATGATTCTGTTGGAAAACACATTCATGAAGTCGTTCTCTGGATCATTAACTGCTTTTGTGGCCTTTCCAAAACCCTAATCAGATTATTTTTGATGACTAACGATTGAACTCATGATAGTAATAATGTGATGTCTCATCTGACCCCAATAGGAAGGTTCCAGGCCACTTCCACGTTGTATTTGTAGTCGTCCATCCAGACCTCTGCCACCCGCAGGGCGTTGCGCCGCACTGCGGGTCCGAGGTCCCGGGCGTAGGGCTTATGAAAGCGTTCGATGTGAGCGATCTTTGAACAGGGAATGACCTCTACGCTGCCTCCACACAGCCACACCTGCCAAAACACAAACTCACTTTAAAACAGTCAAAGAAAAGGAAAGACGGGAGCCTAAAACACACATTAATATTAATATAACTCTTCACTGCTAAGCAGGACAATTGTTTGGTTCCAGAAACCGCCACTAGGGGGCAGATGACTCAGTTCATCTCTTAAGATAGAAATGAAACAAAGACAAAATATTCAGTCAATCGTCCTAAATAAAGATGTAAGAATCATTCTGACATGTTTAAGTGATAAAGAAGGTGAGTAAATAAATATTTAATGTAAACCCTATTATGGATATTTTATTTTATCAAATTATTCTTATTTAATATTTAAAATGACAACATAAACATATTAACTTATACATTTAAAATTATGTGAAAAAGCAGAAATTTAATGTATTCAATTTTCTTTTAATTACTTTTTTTGTACATTTCTACAACATTACTATTATTTAACTGTCATCCAATTATTTCATTTTGTGGTAAAATTAATAAATTAGAAACAAATATCAGATTAACAAATATCAAATACCAGCTTTTAATTGTGTTTCTTTTTGGTTCTGGGCTCTTTTTAAATCTCACCCGGATGCCGAGCTCCACGTTTTCACCTCCGTATATCTTCATCCCGCCATCAAGGCTCCCGATCTCTCCAAAAAACCTCCGATCTGCAACCAGTATTCCCATGACGGACGGGCTCCTGGTGGGACCATAAAACAGATCAATCACCGACTGAAAGTGGCTGATAAATCAATAACAGCAGAGAAAACAAGTCTTAAAGTCGCCATCTGGTGCCACCTAGTGGCTGAAATTGTAAGTGTTGGAGACAGTTTTTAAGGTTCTGCAATCATTTTAAGACTGAATGCTTATGCATTATGTAAAGAGTACATTTTGAATCACCCTGAAATTATTCAACATAAATTGGTGTCTGAGCCATTTAATTTTAAAATAAAAATATTTTCTGTGAGGTCATATTTAACTAATTACACCAAGCTGATTTAAGACTTTAAAGGATAAATATTCCCTGCACAAAATGTCCTGCAGCAGGCTTTGTATCAATAATGGTTTGTGGTGCTTTTCTTTAACTTGTTTGTTTCCCCATCATGGACGCTCTCCATCACCAGTACACAAACTGGTACATAGCAACAACGACAGTTTCCAGCAATTAAGCAAAACACTGAGCTGGTTGTTCAACCTGCTGTGAAAAAATGAACCAATGCTGACAGTGAAGTGTGAACATGCCACAAAATTAACCTCTTTAAAACAAATCTGTTTAGCCATGAAAGAGGGTCAATATTAAGTCACTGCTGTAACTGCAACCAAAATCAATCCATGACATTTTTACTTTCGGAAAATGAAGATGAGACACAAAGAGATATTTGTAAATATTTAAAAGACGAGGTTTCAGTTGTCTCCAAAGATTCAAATAAAACAAATATACAATAGGAGAAATTGGAAACAAACAGCAAAACGTAAAACTATAAACCAGATGTGAACTCAGTTTCATTTCAGGCCATATGAAAAATATGAATGTTATTAAAGTTGTATTGATAAATGTATTAATAAACCCCATTAAACTGTTGAAAAATTAATTAATAGTTGTTTTCTCAACATTCATTAAGGGTTTCTTAAACTTAAATAATTTGGAACATTTTATCTATCCAAGATTTTGTGATTGTTTTTGTGGGAGAAGGTTTGCAAAATCATAGACATTTTGGTGCTAAATTAGAAATATTTGTAGCAATTTTTTATGATATCTACACTAATGTGTGATGCTAAATGTGACCTTTTATGACTCACTGTATCGGTCACTTAAATTCAGTGTTTTTGACCAATTTTGCAGATTTGTGAAAAACTAGAGAGGCTTATTGATGTAATTTGGAAGGCCGAATAAAAACCTTCGGCGGGCCAGATTTGGCCCCCAGGCCTTCAGTTTGACCTATAAACTATAAACTTAGCATAAACAGTGTGAGCTTTCTAACAAATACGACTAACATGACTCTTACTTGACAGGTTGAGATTCGTCCTTCAATTTGTACCATTCGGGTCCGATTGCCTCATACTGGCACCATAAAGCCCAGTCAAAGCCATCAGCGAAGGTCTCATAACGATTCACCATCAGGTCGTCAAAGTTGACTTTATCAAAAACTGGTGTCAGTATCACGGTGCGGTCCTCTTTAATCCGAGCCAGCAGAGGTTCTGCCCTGCAGAAACAGGAAGCTATTTTACTATAATGTTAAAAATAAGATGGAAAACCTCAGGATGCAAAGTCCTTCAACCAACCACTGAACATGGACCTCTATGTGTGCATCCAAGATGGCCACCACATCTCCCACTGCAGCTTTCCACCCGGTCAGTCTGGCCTGCGTCAGGCTGAGCTGCTCAGAGTGCCGAATCTTCTTCACCAGACCGGGCCGCTCCTCATTTATGGAGCTAATGTACAAGTCTAGCTTATCCAATAAATCATCTGCAGCAAAATAAAAAATTTCTCACATTTAGGGGAAATAAGGATGAAGATTATCCAGACACCCGAAAAAGGACAGAGACCCTGAATCTCTAAAATAGAGGTTCCCACATTGTTTCCAGCAGAACTTTCAGATAAAATTTCAAATGAAAAATAGAAATGTTCAGTCGTCAAATTAATCCCATAGCTGAATGGACACCAAACAAACCGTTGGAGCTGTGATCGTCCACCAGTATGATTTCTCGCAGCAGCCGGGCAGGCGTCTTGTCGATGATGCTGCGGATGGCTCTCTTGATGATAGACAAGGCTTCATCCAGATAGATCAAGATCACGCTGAGGGAGGGCAGATCCTCTGGATACTGTTTCTCTGCACATCTGCAACCATAAATGAAGTAACTATAAAATAATTCATAGTATTAATGAAAGACAAATATGAGGTTATTGTTAAAAAAAAGGAAAAAAAGAAAATTGCTTTGGCATTTGTTCTAGGTTTTTGTGATACATCATTTACATTGAAAGATGACACTTCTGTTCTACCTTCAGAAATTTATTGGTGATTCAAATAACTTTCTGTGAAAACCAGAGAAACATCACATAACCTTATTTTGGCAGTCCATGAACACGACACACATTTGGAACCTATTGTTCTAACATTGTTTCTCTATTTACTCAATTGTAGGAACATGTGTTTGATTACAAAGATTAAATAAGCTCTTCAATAAATCCACATTCTCAAATCTAAACCCAGATCTCAGTTTAATTAATTTAATTTAATAAATTGCTTGTGTATAACGACTTGAAACCTAAATCAGCAATGATTTACTCAAGCCATAAAATTCTTATATTTCCCATTGATTACATTGTTTCAGAGCTATAAAAAGATCTATTCAGAATAACTTTTGCTATTATTGCTAAAGAAGTAACAGGCTCTGCTACGGCTATGTTTTCTCAGCTGCGACCCCTCCTGTTCAGGAAGGGAACTGCAACGGTTTGGAGAAGGAATGCAGGTGAACACAGACACCCATAGGGGGCGCTGCAGCCAGTCCACGATCAGTACAGTCATACTTTAGCTGCTCTTTTGAATATAATCGTAAAACAAGGCATTGTTTTTGCAAGTTGCTCACACAATATAAGAAATAGTTGTAGAAAACTGTCTACGCTTTGAGACGATGTTCAAAAGTCTGTTTCTATATATCCTAGTTGATTTTTTATTTTATTTTTTACTTTTTCATGGTGTCAAATAAGAAAGCTGAATGTTTGATCTAATACTGTAACTTATCAAAAACTTACAAAACAATGACATCATCTGGTTTAGTTAGTTTTGTAATTTAAATGTAATATATATAAAATCTTGATTTAACAGAAAAAAGCCAAGCTTAGTCAGCTCTAACTCTTGTGTAATGCTAAAAGTTGGACAAGCATTCCAATTTTTTAAAACTAATGTATTCTTGAATTTATGCAGCATTTAAAATTGTTCTTAGAGCAACTATTATCTGTGTCAGCTCAATATTATTACTGACCTTTATTCTACCAGAAAATAAAGGTCTCCAAAAAATATATATATATATATTTTTGGAGAAAATCCAGGCTAAGACATAGATCCCTACACTTTCAAAATAACAAGCAGGAATGACATACTGCTTGTCGGAAAATCTGTTTTGTAACAGATTTTCCAACCTGTTGCAAAATCAAATAATCTTTGCTGCTTATGGCAAATTGACTTTTCAGGGTTGGGAAGATTCCTGTCATAACACGCGTGTATGTGGAAAGGGTGTGCCAGTGTTCATCAGATCCTGAAGGAGGAGGAAGAGGAGCATCACCTCTTTGGTCTGGTGTCAGGAATGTCCCGGTTGAGCGGCAACCGGTCACTCAGGAAGACGTTGTATCCGTATTGCTGGAACAATTCCTCGGCCTTCTTCTGCTCCTCCTCCGACAGATCCGCTCCCCATTTTCTGAACAGACTAGAGTTCGGGTACAACTTCTTCACCAGCTTCTTCTCCTTCACTTTCACCCCTTTCTCTTCCTCCTGCTCTTTCTTTTCAAACTTCTCCATCAGGTTCACTGTGGACAAAAGCGATTAGTGTATTTAGTTTGTTTTACTTTCTCCACCCTGAGCTGCAAACAGCAGCACATAAAATCAACATTCAAAAACAACTGAAACTGGGATAATTAATCCATATCTAACAAATGATGCCAACTTTAAGTCCAGTATGAATTTATTTAGGTATTAACTACAGTCCACACAGTGGCATTTTAAGAATTTCAACATTGGATTACATTATAAAACTAAAAACAGATAAAGATTTGCATAAAACTTAAAAAGCCATTTTAGAAAAGCCATCTAAAAGCTGAATCATTTTAAAATAGCTTAATGGCTTTAAACCTGTTCATAAGTTGAATCGAGTTTCTAGCTAAAAGTTTGTTGTTGTAGTTTACTGTAACAAACACAAACATTTTGCTAAATTTTGTGGAATTCTGACAATTTTAAATGGAGTCAGATTTTGCATAAAAGTTCAAATATTTTAAAAATTGTTAAAACACTTTAGTATTAGACAGAAACTAATAACTTTTCAGCGAGATATAGGAGCTTGTTTTGAGTAAATAAATCCTTAATATTGATTTCAAAAATGCAAGTTTCACTGCCAGATTATTTCACTTAAAACACTGTTTTTTAAAATCACTATTAAAGAATTATTTTATTAAAATATGTATCTTATATCTTAATGAAAAGTTACTTATAAGTTGGTTTTGTCTTTTTTGGTCGTGTTTCCAGTGCAAATATCTTTAAAATAAAATAAAACCCACATACATGTAACTTTTCAGCAAGATATAGATTGTTTTGAGCAAATAAATTCTTAATATTTATTTTTTTAAAAATACTAGTTCCACCAGCAGATTTCACTTAAAATATATAAAAATGTTTTTCTATAAGTTAATTAATATGCTAATAAAACAAGTCCTTTTTAAAAAAATCAATATTAAGGAATTATTTACTTAAAACATCCATATCCTCCTGCAATGTTACTTGTAAGTTGATTGTTTTATTTCAAGTGTACTGAGAAATTTGCACTAGAAACTAGACCACAAATACTTTGTAAAATGTTGTTTTTGAAAATGGCAACATTACCAAAGAATCACAGCAGAATTAAAGAGCAGAAAAACATGCTCTTAACTATTATAGACTATTATTAATATAATAGTCTATAATAGTATTGCAAAACTATTGCAAGACTATTGCAATAGTCTTGTATTGCAAGACTATTGCAATAGTCTTGCAATAGACAGAAAAGAAAAAATCTGAAGAGGTGAGAATGCTGACGAGTCTTGGTTTGTTTAAGAATCAGCATGGATATTCAAATAATCCCAGAATAATGACATTTTCTAAAACTCTTCAAAAAAGTTGTTTAAATCAACTCAAGTCTGAGAGCGGTGTACTCACGCAGCCTGCTGATGTCCTCTTCCATCCTGTCCATCCTGCGGATCATTCCCAGACCCCGGATGGAGTCGTTGTGCTGGGCTCTCTGCAGCCTCTCTGAGTGGGAGTGAAACTCTGTTTTTATGGAGCTCAGGTAAACCAGAGCTGAAGCCACAGCGAAGACCGTCATCCAACCTTTGACCCAGCTGACTCTCATCCTGCTGCAGAGGCTGGGACTCTTCTGCTCTTAGAACAAGTAGCAGAACGTTTTCTTCAAGCTGGATAATCTCTCTCTGACTCCACCTACATCTGTGAATATTTTAATCTGCTGGGTAGATGATCTTGTTTCAGTTTCACCCTTCAGTTCATTTTCCTTCCTTCACACCTGCAGGGTGTTCACCATTAACTCCACCAGCAAAATGTGTGGGGAAACACGGAGCAGGGATGAAGGAAAACTCAAATATCCGATTACTTCTGCTGTTTATATTAAATAAATTCAGTAAAAACAGGTGTCATTTAATTCACTTGGAGCTTCGTTTGGCTTCAACACATAATTTGGTTAAATTAAATAAAAGTTTTTTTCCAATCCATGCCATGTTTTCTTTGTGTTCACTCTGACCTGAGGCATCCTGCTGTGAAATGTCAAATATCTTTTTAATTCAAACAATAATCAGTAACAAGTTGATGTAGATCGAAAAAAATGCAAAAACAGAACAAAGATTAAAATAAGAAGAAATTTCTGAATAAATAAACAATGACTAAGATAAAAGTTTTCTCAACAACCATCAGATGCTGACAAAAGCAGCATATTTAATTGTTTTACTCCATATTTAATTTATTTTCCATTTATTTATGAACTATTTATTGTTTACCAAACTGGCACAACTACATCTTATAATTTAAAAAAAGAAAACTGAAAGTAAAAGCTCCTAACACACATTTATCTAGTAACCCTTTGAAGAATTTTGAATTAATATAAGTTGCAACATTTAATTTCTCTTTGGGTATTTTTGAATTTGAATCCTCTTCCTCATTTGAAACAGATTTAAATTTTTGAAAAGTATTTATGATGTCCATCTATAAAAATGATCCAGCGTGAAAAGATAACTGCTTTTAAACTTTATTTTTTTGTTTATGTACAGAATATTCAAGCACTATAAAGATGAGTAAAATGTTTTCAAAACAACAAAAAAGAGGATATAAGGAAATCTAACTAAAGTTCATTCTGAACTAATTCAAACTGAAAAGAATCACAATTGAGACTGAGGTCAAACGGGGTTAAAAACATTGACAGATTATCTGTTAGTGACTGGCAACGCTCGGGTGGAGCGGTTTGACCCGGACCATGCGGGACAGTCCCAGTCTCAGCCCGGCGCTGGGAGACTTCACAGCCGGTGTCTGGGATGAGGTCGGACTTTTACCGACCTGAGCTGGAGAACAAACGCATCTTTACTACCTTTACTGTCTGGAAACAGAGAAATGCAGCAGAAAATGCTGTCGGGTTCTACCTGGCGGGTTCCACTTGGGTGTTCTGCCCCCTGCTGGACTCACAGAGATCACAGGCTTCACACTGAATGACGCTGGCTTACTGGGAACCAGTTTGGCTGCTGGGGGACTTCCGGAAATTCCTAAAGCAAAGCATTTTTCTTAACACTCACAAATAGGGTTGGAATTTATTCTGTTCATTATTTATTGTGAAGAATTTTTTATGAGAATTTCTACCATCACCTTGGAGAAAAAAATTATTTTTTGCCATTTTCTCCACCATTTGTTCCACATGGGCATCAATAAATGTAATTAATATAAAAATATGATTAAATGCAGTAACTGTGTGCAGTTTGGTGATATAAATCCCCTTTTTTGTTAAATATTTTTCAAATAGAAAGTTTGTAGCACAAAATAGAAAAGTTTAACATGATATTGTCGATATTTTTTTATAGTGGACAGAATTTCCATATGTAACCTGGAAAACACGACGAACAGCAAAGGGACATTTTAACGTAATTCTCTAGGCCCGACCAGGTCTGGAAAATACTGAAATTAACAGGAATCTTGTACAACTGAAGCCAACGTTGAAGCCAACTTACCTGCAGCCTGTGGTTTAGAAAGTGAAGACCTTGATTGTTTCTTTTCTTTTCTGGGAGCGGGACTTGGCTTGGGTTTGTCTTTCTTGGACACTTTCTCCTTCCTTTTAGCCTTGCTGGATTTCTTCACTGTAAACTCCTCATCCTCGCTCTCCTCAGGCTCACTGAAATCTTCATCGCTCTCTGAATCTGAAAAGGAACGGCGGTTATAACGCCGAGTCGACAACAAAAGCAGGTTGATATGAATACGAGTGGGGCGGCAGCTAACCTGGAGTCAGTTTAGGTTTGTAGTCTTCATCTTCATTCTTCTTTTTCTGTACCTCAGCTGCTTTACTCGAGGTCTTCCTTTGCCTGGCAGCTGGTAATGCTTTCTCTGATGTGATTTCATCAAGGCCTGAAGAAAATGTTGTTTATAAAAAAGGAGAGCGAGAGAAAGAAAAAAAAGAAAGATTTACCTAAAACTGCTCCGTCCACACTGCAGTTGGATAGAAGCAAAGATGCTGGATCTGTGTTTTCATTGACAGAGCCTTGAACTTTAACATCTGCTGGGAAAATAATAGGAACAAAACAGAATTAGAAGTTTATGAAACGTAAAATCTACATGTTACATGCAACAGCTAACCCTTACCGGTGGGAGAATCGTTTAATCCGTCTGAGTTATTGAGTAAAGAAAGCGTGATGGCTGCTTCAAGATCTCTTTCATACAACTTTTCATCCAGCGGTTTTCTGGAAACAAGTGATGAGTTTATGTCACAACATGTAACTAAACACATCACAGCTTACAACAGGAGCATTTTGTCAGGTTTTGATGCGATGGATTGACTGGCTCCATTAAATCTGAAGATAACACACAGAAGCAGACTGTAAAACTGATTTTCTTGCCCTGATCTGTGTCGCCCACCTGCTCTTCTCGCTCTGAGTTGTTGTTGGGTTTGACTCTGGGCTGGAGGACCCGACTGAAGGTTTCTTCTGTTCGTGTTTTGTTTCCTCTCTGACCTTTTTGCTGGGCGGTGCTTTCGAACAGGCAAAATCCTCATCTGTCCCAGAATAAGAGCAGGACACAGAGACATATTCATTATAAGGAAGCTTATAATAAGGAGGTGTTTTTTTGTTTTACCAGAAACAACATATAGTAACACAGTTATGTGTATAGCACATAAAATCATTATAGTTTCTTCTTCAGATCCCATTGAAGACCTTATATTGGTGCATATTTTTAAGATTTTCAGAGACAAACAGTTCTTTAAATAAGACCTACGTTTGATGGGATGTTGTCGAAAAAATATTTACTGAAGCAAACAAACCAGCGCAGAAACTCATGACTCACCATCATCAAAATCTTTGTTTTCACAGTAGTTCACAACCTTCGTCTTCCTGTGTTAACACCAAACGTGTCGCCGTCAACAACGGTTTAAATGATTAACAAATAAAAACACAAAGTAATAAAAACGAATCCTCACCTGGATGGTCGCTCCATGTCCAGAGTAAATGTGAAGCCAAGTTTTGTTTTTAAACATTAACGGCTGGTTTAGAAACACGAACAGCTGCAGTGACAAAACGCTGATGCTAAATGCGTCCGGAGAAGCTAATCTCAGGCTACTTAAAACATGACTCTTACTTTATAATTAAAAACTATTTCAGCTTTTGTTAAGTAACGTCGTAGCGCGTCTTCCTGTTTTCATCCAGCCCGCCGGATCACACCGGAAATGACGTTTTGTTGACCAATATGACGAAACATCCGAGCTGATTCGTCTCTACCGACAACGATTTTTCGGTTTGTTTTTCTTCTAAATAAACAAAAATGTATAAATACACAAAATACTATTAATAAATTAATGAAACTATATTTTTATTTTTAGCAAATTAAGTGACGAATGTGCTCCTTTGTTTCGTTTGACGTACGTGCAGGCGTTAACAGTCGTTTTGAACGTCAGTGATGCCGCCATTTTGGAAAGGTAAATTTGTGCCCATAGATTTGTATGACCGTTGAATATTGGACCAACACAGATACAGCGATATTAATATTTTCTTAGCTGATTCCACGTGAAAGTATAAACGAATAACACATTTTTATTGCATTTTGGTATTAAAATATTATTTATTGTGTCAAGCTAGGACATATTTTTAATATACTTCATGGTACTTCATGACTTCTGATTAGTAATATAGCTTTAGTCAGAAGACAAAATATTGTTTTCAAGCAATTGTTAATTTTCTCTTATCCAGTTTTTCATTCAAAATGTGTTGTTTAATACAGATGAACTGCCAGCTTTTCCAACATGAGACTGCACAATGTTATAAACATGTTGTCCCTAACACTGTCTTACCATCTGGATATCTTGTTAAATCTACACACTAATTTTTTTCCTCAGCTAAAATCATAAAAAAATCCATCTATTCAAATTAACTAAACACTAACACTAAAAAATATTTTTATATTTTTAGAGCTCAATGAAAACAACATATATAACAGTGTTTTGCTGTTTCCTAATACTTAGAATAAATTAAAATGAGGATGTGTTGAGACATTGGCCAATAAAACCTAAAAATGACTCATTCCACACTTCCAGTACTTTACTGCCAAACATAAGTTTGCACAAGCTAACATGTGGAAGTGTGTGGGGAACCAAAGTTAAAAAAATAACATAATTTACCTAAAATATAGTCACATGTCTTTAAACAGTTTAAATACAGTCATCTAACAAAATTAAGGATATTTTATAATAAGCTTGTGCATTTTCTACCAAATTTGGACATATTAGACATCAATTTTAATAATACTGAAGAATCCGTCTCTACCTGTGGATGCAGGGTCCCTGGGGGTTTCCTACGGTCATTAGGCGACAGGTGGGATCCATCCTGGACAAACAAGACAGAGGAAAAGAGGTCAGACAAGCTGACTTACTTATTCATGTTAAAGAACTGCGGGAATAAAAACTGTTCAAGTAACGCTAATTTAATATAACATGGGGGGGAAAACACACATATTTTAAGATTAATCTCAGAAATCTTCAAGAAAAATCTTGAACTTTTCTGAGCTCCAAAAGTTGAAAATGATCAACTTTACAATCTCATAAAAAAATAAGATTTTCTATAAAAACAAAACAAAAAACAAACATAAAAATTCAGTCTAATTTAAAAGTTTTTGTTTTTTTTCTTGCGAGTTTTTGTCTTCTGGAGCTTTTCTAGAAAATGTCTAATATAAATCTAAAAACTGTTGTATTTTGGCAGACTTTTGTCTGTTTTTCTGTCTCCAGTGGCCCTGACTGGGGGTGAACTCTGGACAGGGGTCAGGGTATGGATAGTTGCAGCTCCTTGACACAGTTTCTCCAGCAGATGGCGGCGTGGGTCCGATTCTCTCATTGTCTCCACAGGCTGATTGACATGAGCTTGACACGTCCTCAGCTGCCCACTCGCCCACACTTGGGCCGGAAACGATCCCTGCTCCCTCTTAAGTGGGTAAAAATGAAATCTGTCCATTTTTACAGCCATTCCAAGAGAGCAGCTGCTCTACCGAAGGT